TCCAACCTTAATGATTCTGTGATTCTACATGAAAAATGCAGAGAGCACCATGCAATTTTCCCTGTATAGTCAAAGGGATACAGCGCAGAAGATGTTAGTCTGCTGTATTAATACTGAACTGCTTTTCGCTTCACAGCTGCATGCCTTTTTTTGTAAGTGCAGGCAAACAGTATGCTTTACAAAAGCCTTATAGATTGGTCAGTTTGTAAAAAATGAGCAATAAACACTCTGAAAATTCTTCTGTTAAGTGCCTTGCTGATTGAGTAAATCCTCAATACAAGATTTTTCTTCTATTATAATTTTTCCAATGAATTACGGGTATATATATACATGAACTACAGTTATATATACACTTCTTGGGCATCTGCCCTTAGTTTTTTTTCCAAAATAGAGAGTATTCTTTCATCTACTGTGCATTTTCAGAAGGCACCATTGCAGAACTAAACCCAACTGGGCAAAGGTATACTATTCCACTTTTCTACCCCTAGTCATAACACCCTTTTCCTAACAAGTGCTGTACAATTTTTCCACTGAGTGCTCATTTTGAGATGAATAATAAGGTTAAGCATAATCAGATGTGTTAATGTTCATATCAAAATTTACTTTAATATATTTGGTCAGTTAAAAATATGCAAGTCATCTTTTACATTTTTCTACAGAATTTAAGGTGCTTGTTCAGTACATAAATAGACTGTATAAAATGTGTCTTAATTTTCTTTATTGTTAAAAGAAGAAACGAATATTTAGGAATAAAATATACTTAATAATTTAAAAGTTATGCTGTGTGCAGACAACTGTACAATGGCAAAAATTTAATAGACTATTATGAAGTCTGGGCTGTATCAGTCTTTCTAAAAGAGTCAATATCTTTGGAGTTTCTTCCTAAGATAGGCATCGTTTTCTGTTTATACTTTTGTCTGCTACTCTTGCTTCCTCACGTCAATGCCTTTTAAGAAATGTTTGTGTATAAATAGCTTAATTCTGTTTATTTACATTCATTCCACCATTAGCTGTGGAAGATGGATGTGAGGAATTACAGAAGGAGATCTTGTATTTGGTAGAGGACATAATTTGTCTTAATACATTTTCAATGGGCACCTATTTTATAGACCCTTGAAATCATGTATTTGGATCTTGTTGAATTTAATGTGCTTTATACATGTGCCTGCAGGTAAGCACGTGCTAAATGTTGACAGTACTGAATTGGAGGTAAGGAAATCCATTTGTGCTTTATTGAATTGGCGTAAAATCTTTTCTAAACCATTGATTATATCATAGTGTGAGGAATGTAAAATATCTCACTTGACACAATTGGAGTCAATGCTTCTGAGATCCCAGTTCATTACTGAGGATACTGGTATTAGGATTTCACCTCTCAATTTGTTTGCAGAACAAAGTCTTTATTTACCGGGGAAAGGAGTATGAACGCCGTGAAGACTTCGAAGCAAGGTTATTAACTCAGTTTCCGAATGCAGAAAAAATGAAAACGACATCTCCACCAGGCGATGACATTAAAAACTCCTCCGGCCAGTGTATCCTTAGGTTGTACAGCGGCTCCTGCAGCTGCACAGATCGAGGATTTATGGTCAACACAAGCAGGAGACTTGCACTTCTGCCTTTACGGGTGTAATACATTAAATTTGTTGTTCTGTCCTTTCTTTGCGTTCCCGTTGAGCTGCCTGTTCTGCATGATTGAAATTCACTTTTCGGTTCTTAACTTCTGAATTCAGATATTCAGTGCTTTACTGTAAAGCCAAAACTGGATTTACCATCTAAATTTCACAGGCCAGTGTCAGAACAAATCGTGAGGTGAGTTTGGGTTGGTTTTGCAGTTTTATCAGTCTCCCTTATCACATTTAAACTAGTTCTTGTTGTTGTATAACAAATCTGTACACAGCCAAGGAGGGTGGTAGTTATGAGGACATTCCATGGATATTCTTAATATTAGCAGAGATTCCATCCAACCCACTGGAAAACAATGATCCCATAAGCATTTTATATTTATGCATAAACTTTTTTCTAGTAATAGAGTTTAGCAGCAATTCCTAAACAGATAGCATTTCATTTTCATTGTGCTTTTCCTTTTTTCAGTTTCTATAGGGTGAATGAAGTCCAACGGTTTGAGTATTCACGCCCTGTTCGAAAAGGAGAGAAAAACCCAGACAATGAATTTGCGGTAAAAAAAAAAAGACAGAAAATGGAGTACTTTTGGGTTTTGCTTGGTTATTCCCCTTCATTTTGAGAATTTGAACCATTCATTATGGTTAGGTTGTTGAAAAATGTATACTAAGTTTAAATGTGATTAAGAATTCAATTAAACCAATTTAGCATGTCCTGGTTTATACCAATAAAAAATGGCAAAAGATGTATTTATTTTGGTAAAAACCAACTATTTTCGGAAAGAAGTTTAAAATAGTTATACCTGAAAAGATATATCTTGCCAATACTTGTCTTGCCCTGAAGATTCTAGTCAGGCATCTTCTAAAAATTTTTTTGCAGCAATACCTTTTTTTTTTTAATTTTTTTTTTTACTAAACCATGTTTCATCTAATGGTCAATAAAACTCCCTTTGAGCACAGCTTGTATTCATCAAAACACTTACAATAGGTTACATCAAGTTGATTGACTTTTTTTTTTATAGACACCATTTTATTCACAAGGATTCTAGTGGCTGTGGGTAGTGTGGTACCATAGTAGTAGTAATTAAAGTAATATATCAATGCATCATTTCTTGAGCAAAGAACTTCATTTTCTGTGTAGGAGCAGGCTCTAATCTAATCAATGTGCCAATAAACGTCGAGTGTTTGGTTTCCTACAGCTAACACTGGCTATTCCTTCAGGGACTCCTTTAGTGTCTTTGGCTTCTCATGGTGGCTATTATATCAAAAATTGCTAATTTGCTAATCTACATGGGTTTAGCTGAAGAGGTAGGAAACTCTCTTTTTCTAAAACCATAACGCTAGAGAGTGCTACATTTTACAAAATATTTTAACTAGAGATAACAAAATTTAGGTATATCTAAATCACTTTGAAAGCTCTTCTTCTGTTAATGGAAGATGGAATAAATTCTGTTTTTAAAAAACCTCATAATAAATAAGGTGAATTACCAACATATGCTGGTTTTAAAAAGCCAGATCAAGAGATGTCTTTGACATGGGTTATGAACCAAATACACACGTGTGAAGGAAGAGATGTTAAATGACACATCCGTAAATTCAAACCAGTGAGGATGTGCTACAACGAAGCCGTTGCATTTTACAGCTCAGATGAAATCACAGAATCACAAATCCAGGTCGAGACCTGCAGCTCTGGATGGGATCCTGGCGGGGCTCAGGGCCAGCTCCGGGTCAGACGTGGCTGCTCAGGGCTTTACCCCAGCGGGTCTTGAAGTCTCCGAGGATGGGGATGGCGCAGCCTCCCCCGAGAACCCGTCCCTCTGCTCCTCCACCCTCCTGGGGAAGAAGTTTTCCCATATCAAGGTTCTGTGGTTTTGTGGAGAATGGCCCTTGAAAGCTCTAGAAATTACGCGGGAAAAATGACAGTTCAATAAAGCAGGTGGATCTTTTACCTAGTGTTGTCCTTCGGTAAGAGAGCAGTTGTTCTCTGCTAAATCACGTATCGGATTTAAACGGGCGCCACTCCATCATCTCCCCAAGCAGATTCCATTTGAGATTTCCCCTGGCTCCATAATGTCTGTCGTACTGCAGTTCCTTTTCCCGATGATAATATTTTAAGGCTTTGCTTAAGATAAAAGCTATCAATCTGATAACGTGATGTTTATGTTCTATTTGTAGAATATGTGGATTGAGAGAACCGTCTATGTGACAGCGTATAAATTACCGGGGATTCTGAGGTGGTTTGAAGTCAAATCAGTTTTCATGGTAAGATCAATTTGGCTTTATTGAGATTGCATGAAAGAACGGGGCTCTTATACAGCCTGGGAGCATTTGTATTTCTGTATGACTGTGCTTCAGTCTGTGAACAAGCAATCGGCGTGGCTGTATCTGGCATCCTAAGACAAGGGAACTCGCGACTCGGGTGATGCTTTTCCACTCCTCGGAGAAGGAAATGCAGGCTGACTCTTCCAGGCCTTTAGGGCAAGGTCCGATCAAGTGCTTGAAGTACTTTTACAAAGTATTTCTGGCTTTCAGCAGGTGAGCCATTACAGCCTGTGGCGTAAGCTGTGTGCCTAAAATGAAGAGGGACCTGAGGTGTTTTAGGGGAACCCTGCTACGTCAAAATGAAACTAGTCTGAATTTTGGAAAAGAGGATTTGGGTATTTTGATTGTAATTTATTCAAAATATACCACAAATCAAATGCATTGTGTGTGTCTGCATCTCTTCTCTACTTACCATTTGTGATTAAAAGTTGGTTTTATTTCTTCTCCATAGTTAGCTAAAATATACCCTAGCAACCTCACAGAGTAAATCCAAATTACGCATTTCTCTGTTCTACCATTTAAACTGTTTAGATAAGACATATCCATTAAAGGCCTTTAAGATTAAATTATTCTTACGCAGCTGTAATTTTTAAGTAGCAATAAAAACATTGTTACTGCAGTTTTTAAATCTCTCTTGTGAGGCTTATTTTTAAAGGAAAAGAACAATTTGCATCTGATTAATTAAAACGTTTTTCATTGCTCCATTGAGGTTATGTTGGACAGTTGTATTTAGATGAACAGAAGTAATGCAGAAAATTACTATGGTATCTATAGTAACAGAATATGAATGTGATGTTTGACAGTAATAGGCAGCTGAATAAAACACATTGAATTTTTAATGAATTTTGTATTTTCAATATAATTCTGATAGAGAAGATTGTATTTATCTTCATGATTGCAAAAAGTGTTGCTTATAAAGGCTGGCAAATCTGATGAAAGTCTCTTTTCCTTACGAGTTAAGAGCACAGCCTGACAGGCTGCTTTATGCAGGCAATTTGTGTACACGCACCTTTAGCGCTGTGCTTGTCATGGAAATGTGCATAAATCCTGGGAGAGTGCTTTCTATAAGCTTGTTGTAAGTAAGGATTATATTAGTCACATAGCTGAAAAATGATACCAGAATGGAACTTAATAATATGTGGGAAGACAGCAACAGATAACTTTTGACCTAGCTCAGGCATAGTTACTACAAAAGTGGTATTGACTTTCTTCAAGACTCCTGTCAGCTAAAACGCTGGGAGCATGATCATGAGGTTCACATCCCTGTAATGCTAAATTTTGATTATGGATACAGGTATTATTGATGTTTTACTAAATATGATGAATTAAAGTAGCTTTGCACATTTCATATTTTATCGATGGAACTAGAATATCTTTAAAGGAAGAGGTGAGATCATATCAAATCAGTGCTGGGAGAGAACTGGGTAATTTAATAAATGCAGTGTATTATGTTACATAACCTATAGGAACACACATAATTTCCTTAAATTTATTTGATTTTTAAATTCCTTCTGAGTACTTGTATTTAAACCTTTTCAATCTCTTCATTACCTGCTAGAAATTTGTTGTTCACATTCATTATTCTGTATCTGATTTGCTTTAGCTGGGCACAAATAGTTGCAGGGGAAAAATTTGCTGAGGCCAGCCAGTGAATTAGAAACAGGATTTTGAATTACACTTGGTTTTGAAAAGCACAAATACTAATCTCTGTTTTGTTCTGATGTTTAATGTTTTAGTGTTGCAAGTGTATCAGGAGCGTGTAATTTCTGTTTGCCATGAATAGATTGTGTAGTGGCCAGAGTTAGCAAGCTACTTGGAACAGGGCTTATAATTTACAAGCATAGATAGCTTTAATAAATAGCTTTCGGTAAGGTCCAAAGCACAGTTTATAGTAGTAGGATGGGAACTGCAGTCCTCCATCTGCTTTGAAAAAATTAGAGGGAGGATTATAAGAGTAGTAGAAGAAAGGAGAATGAGAAAGAAAACCGTGATTGCTGATACAGAAAAGTCAAAAACTGTGTCTGTGAGCTCAATGAGTGCTAATTTCTGTAGATATTCAAGAGCTTTAAAAGCAATGGTTCATCAACAAATTATTACATAGTTATAAGCCCATTAATACAAAGACAGAATCCTAAATTTAGCAGATGATGTTCACAACAGTTCTCGCCGAATCAGATGTTGAACGTGGTCTTACTTCCCCAGTCCAAATTTCACTCGTAGCACGTTCAGCTCTGAAGGGCAGTCGGCATCTGTCTGCCCGAGCCTGGTCTGCTCCGCGGCCACGGCAGAAACATTAGGCTCGTTACCTGCCTTCCGGAATAATTCACCAGGCATACCTTTAAAAATGCTAATTAAAACATCCTTGAGGTAATCAGATGGCAGGTGTAAGAGTAACAACTAAAGAGATTTGATTATAAGTGGTTCTCAGAAACATGGTAAGCAACTGATAGCCAGGTAGAAGTGCTGCTTTGTTTATGTAGCATTTATGTAAATTAGGGTGTAATCAAATACACACTTGCATTTTCTTCACAGGACTCAATTAACCTTCCTTTTCTATTCCTACCACATCATTTTTTTAATGTAAGTAGGCTATGACTTCACCCTTCCAGTGAGGACTGTCTTTACTGTGGGTTGCTGCAAGTCAGTCGTTTTTATCCCTTTTACTAATTGTACATGTTGCAGCAACATTTTAAAGATTTTAATACTGTTTTCTCAATATGAGCAACTGTCGTTTTGAAAGACACAGGATCTGGTCGTAAATAATAGTTGGAGGTCAGTCAATTAAAAGAAAGCAAGTTTTACGCCGTATAAGAGCTAATTCACCCCATGAAAACATCTGAGGAGCTCTCTTGATTAATGTCCAGGCTATGTGAGAAAGAAAATTTCTTCCTTCGGTTATCGACATTCAGATGAAGAAAATGTGACCTCGTGGGAAAAAGCACAGCAGATAGCTTAGAAGTCATCTCTTCAACATATTAAACTCCATTTCCTTGGAAATACACCAAAATAATCGCTGCAAAAATATCTTCTTGATTTTTGAGCTGCTCAGGATTACATTTGCCATCAGAAAATCCACATTAAGTTATCATTTCTTTCTTACTGGTACATTAAGCTGGATCTTCTTTGTACTGCTAAAACTCACCGACTTGTAATCTCTGATGTTCTCCATAATCCTCCAAAAACCTCACGTGGTTTCTGTCAGAGCCTTTCTAAATGTTGTGGTGCCGTGCCGAGATGCAATCCGTCCTACAGCAGTGAAATGCGTTTAACTTTCTCCACTGATACTGTTGTATCAGTTACCGCAGTCTATAGATACCAAATATCGAAATGCCTGAAACCAGCCTTTCTGTTAATTATGGATTAAAATATCTCTTGTTCTGAAATCCCTGAAACGTTTCTAGTTGTGGTGGTTTGGTGAACAGCCAGTTCTGTGGCAGGTTAAAAACTCTGCTTCTTGATTAAAACCTCCTTTGGTTTTTATTTTAGGTTGAAATCAGTCCACTGGAAAATGCAATAGAAACCATGCAGCTGACAAATGATAAGATCAATAATATGGTTCAACAGCATCTAAATGATCCAAATCTACCCATTAACCCTCTCTCGATGCTACTTAACGGCATTGTGGATCCTGCAGTCATGGGAGGGTTCACAAACTATGAGAAGGTAATGTCAAAATTATCTGTCCTGAGTGCTTCACCTCTTTGAGCTTGGGCTCTCCCGGAGTGCTGCAGGACGTGCGTGTGTATTTGTATATAAACACGACGTGAGCTTCTCCTCATACGTGCTTTCTAGAACGTTGCTTAAAAGCATTTTTAATGTCTTTCTGGTGTTTATGGATACATTTTTGCCTTTCTACATTTGAAGTAAGAGTTGATATGTTTAGCCGCAAGAGTACTTACGGAGATACGTGGTGGACAGTTGCTTACTAGAGTTAGACACTGAGGCTGATGGCATTGCCAGTGTGTGCTCTCATGCGCTTGGACATCGGAGCTGAAGCAGGAATTTCTGGGTGAACTTCAACGACCAAAGTAACCGATTGCAATTCTCTCCTTTGCTTCCAAATGCAAATGTTTTTAAAGGATTAATCAAATGGTAGAGACTTCTGAGGTACCAGTCGGTTGCAAGTATGTCTGGATAATCTTAACTGCATGTTGCAACATTAGCTTTTAAAGTTATATGGGATGAGATATTAACATTGGGAAACTATAAAGACTGTAGCTGTTTCTATGTTGTGAATAGTAATCGTATTCAGCTAGCATACACAAGCAACATGTATTTTGTAACATAAATGGAGAAGGTGTATGCAAACTGGCATGTTGCTGTATCCATCCACTTATGTCCTTCTGTAACTCTCATCCATTTCATCTACCAAAATTTCTTGTGTCCTGGGAACTGCAAAAAAGACATTTCAGAGATGTGTCAAAGTCCTCTGGAAGGTTGCCCACACGATTTGGTCTTGATCACCATGTGCTCATCTGCCCACTTTATTGCTCAGGGAAGACTGATGTCTTAATCTTAAAACATTGTTAAATTCAGTATCCTTGTCCTATATTTTCATTTGTATTTGTAGCTATTACTGCTGTTTTGCAGAACTTCTGGGTTGATTCATTTATCTTTGCTATGGGTAATTCTTCCATGGTGGATGTTGATTCATTTTCTGAAATAACTGCTCATTTCTCTCTCTTGACCAGGCTTTTTTTACTGAAAAATACATGCACGAGCATCCAGAAGATCATGACAAGATTGAAAAACTGAAGGATCTGATCGCTTGGCAGGTAAAAAATGTTAAGTCAGGCTGGTTGGGGCCAGCTGCTGTACAAAGACAGTTTAGCGTCACTTTTGAGAAAATTCAGACATTAAACTGTTCACCCTGAGTACACTTCTTTGCCATTTAAAACTGTCTTGGAACTTGAGCTAAAGTTAATCTTTTTAAATCTGACATAATTTGTCATTTGATAAACCTGCAAGGAACAAACTGATCAACCTTTCTTTTTTTTTGGTAACCATAACACAGTGAAAATATCCCATCTATATCAAATGAGAAAATACTTTGTAATAATGTTGGTTAGCATTATTGGCAATTTAGTTTTGCATTTAATTTTCTAAGGCTGATTTCAGAAATTCTTCTCAGACAGTACGATGAAATGCCTAATTTTGAATCCCTCCTCCTGCTTGCATGCACTGGGACAGTATTTCTTCACATACTCACTTCTTTTTTTTTCAAACAATGTGTTTTCCATTTATTAAACTTCCTACATATACTTACAAGACCTTTTAGCACAGAATAGGAAGTGTGAGGGTTGCAGAAATTAACTTGCTCACAAAATATTTAGTAAACTCATCGCTGTGAAACCTTTGCTTCATTTGCTGTATAACTTAACATGGTACAAAAACATCAATGATTCATAAAGCATGTGAAATTACCTGGTATTTTTATGATGACATATTAAAGCAGAAATCATCTAAATGTAGGATGACGTGGGTAGTATTTCCTGAACCGGGAATGGAACCCGTATTTCCAGCGTTGTGCCTGTAGCGAAGCAGGAACTCTCTTGCGTGAAGAACTGTATTTACATGTACCTAAGAATATTTTCCAGGATAAACAAGTCCATAGTCGTATACTGGACATTTTCCAGCAGTCTCAAGATAATCTTATGATAAATTAAAAAATACCAATATGATTGGAAGCGTTTTTCCCGCAGAACAAGAAAGTGCATCGTTGTCTTTTTTATATTCAATTTTGTCTTTATAATAAAGGGACTGATTTACATTTCTATAGATTTCAGTCTTGGAGGTAGTAGAACCAAAGATACAGAATTAAAAAAAAACCTCCAAAGACCATAAAATTATCACTGAATAAAAACTCTTTTGGTCTGCAAAAAAATTATGTATTTCTTCATTTATTTTCTTGTGAGCTTTTACAGAAGATTAGATTTTAGGAGCTTTAAGTTTTATAGAGGAAAATAATTTGATCCCAGAAGACTAACTTCATGTCAGCTCTCTGTCTTCGCCTCTGATGGCAATACTTCAAATGAATTACAAACACACTTTTTCCTCAGCAAAAATTCACTTTGGTGACATTTGTGTATTAAAATAATATTAGTGTCGTGGTTTAACCTCAGCTGGCAAGTAGACCCCAGGCAGCCGCTCGCCCAGTCCCCCCGGTGGGACGGGGGAGAGAATCGGAGGGTGAAAGTGAGAAAACTCGCGGGCTGAGACAACAACAGTTTAACAGGGAAAGCAAAAGCCGCGCACGCAAGCAAAGCAAAGCGAGGAATTCCTTCCCCACTTCCCACGGGCAGGCAGGAGCTCAGCCATCTCCAGGGAAGCAGGGCTGCACCACGCACAACGGTGACTTGGGAAGACAAACACCATCACTCCCAACGTCCCCCCTTCCTCCTCCTCCCCCCTCCTCCAGCTTTATATGCCGAGCATGACGCCGTAGGGTACGGGACACCCCTGTGGGCAGTGGGGTCAGCTGTCCCCGCTGTGTCCCCTCCCACCTTCCCGTGCCCCCCAGCCTGCTCGCTGGTGGGGTGAGCGGCAGAAAAGGCCTTGACTCTGTGTCAGCACTGCTCAGCAATACCGAAAATGTCCCTGTGTTATCAACACTGTTTCCAGCACAGATCCAAAATATCGCCCCATACTAGCTGCTATGGAGAAAATTAACTCTGTCCAGCCGAAGCCAGCACGTTACTACTTGCAAATATGTATGGCAGCTAGTCACATTGTATTTTAATTACCCGGTGGTTTTAAATACATGATTTCCCGTAAGTATTGTAGTTCCAAAACAACAGGAGCCACAGCAATAGATAAATGGGATCAAAAACGTTTTATGTTTGAAAATTCTTTTCACTGAAGGGTCTAGCCATTTCACGGTGGAAGTGCTTTTAAATTAGCTTAGGTGTTTCGTATACATTTAGCGTATCCTAAGATTTAAACCTCTTCTCAAATTATTTCGGTTTGCAGAACACAGGCAGCGTAAGCAGAGGGGAGCGGGGTGGGGAGCTGCCTGCCAAATACTGGCTGCTGTCAGGAGAGGGAGTTCTTATGGAAACTTTCCGAAGTGAGGCAGTGGTCTGAATTCATCACGGGCCTGACAGTGATTGAAAGCAAAAACGAGTTTTCATTTTTCAATAATGTGGGCCTTGGAGTTTTGTAATCACACGGAGATTTTCTTTATGCTGTATAAATCAAGCTGGATATATGAAATAGTAGCCTGACAATCATATTATCAGCTGACGAGTTAAATTTTAATTTTTTTCTATCCCCTTACCTTACCTTTTTCTCCATTGTACTATGGAATTCATGATCCTTAGGACACTATCCTTTTATAATTCCTGTGAACTTTAAGTATACATTTTTTTCTGTCTATTATTTTTTCAGGTAAATATCATTAGTAAAGCAAGGTCCATTTTTGTCCATCTTCGTGCTTTTTCAACTTAGAAAAAAATGCTTCCATGCAACTACATCATTTCAAGCTGATCTTTTATTTTAATGTGAAGATAATGAAATGATTGATTGAAATGATGGTAATGAAACGAATGATTGATGAGGTTAGTCACTCTGCATTTAGCTAATGTATTTACAGCATACCAAAACTAGTATGTCACATAAAAATCTTCTGCTACTTCTAAATAGCTGGAAGAATTCTAGCATACAAAACGAAGTTTTTACAATAATATTTTAACACACCATTATTATGAAAGATTTTCTTTTAAGACTTAAGATTAATGTTAATAATTAAAATCTGTGTAACTGTTTCATTCTTTGCAGCCAAGCAGATCAAGATCTTTAAAAAAGAAATAAAATCAAGGAATAATCTTAAGTTGCAGTGGAACTTTATAAAATTTTAAAATCAACAAGGACTGGAGTTACAAAATAAGTGCTATCTTGAGCTGGTTTCCTTTCTCATTCAGCTCATCATTTCTAGCTCAGCTACTTATGTTACCTTTACTTTTTCAGTCACCTCCAAGAGTGAGGGCACCCTGTAGAGCCCTTTGAAATAGAGCCATAAGCAAACCCACCCATTGCTCCAAAGCCAGATGAGTTGGCAGGATCGTGAATGTGGCAAAATTCTGCCTCTGTCTTCGCATCTGACAAGGATTGATAGAGGTTTAAAATTCAGTGTCGCTCGTCACCAGATTCCCCATGTCAATATCTGGAAAGGAGACGTAGGAAGAATTTTGAAGTTAGTAGAAGAAGGTGAAGCAGAAATGGTAAAACAGTCCAAAGGTACTTTCTTTCTGTAGGTGATAAAGGTTTAAAGGATGAAGTTTTCTTAAGACAGGGAGACCAAATATCCTGACTCAGAAATCTTGCAGAAGTTCTGTAGCAAAGCCTTGGGAAGTTTATTAAATTCAGCTTCTGTTAAGGAAGAACCAGCCCTTTCTTCTTCTTCTGTGGTTTCTGGTCTTCTTTCATTCCTTTATAGTTGGTGCCTCCTCTTGACTGTTCCTTGATGTCTTGACTCAACAGTTCCTGTACCAGGAGGCCACCAGCCTTCAGGTGCTCACGTTCTCCCAGCCAACACACACTCACTCCAGCAGATCCAGCCATCAGCCATATTATTTTGCTTTTCCAAGTGCTGGAAGCTCTACATCTAGTGTGTACCTCTGGGGTATAGCAGCAGTGAGAGCCTCCTTGGCACCTTTAATTCGGGGCACAGAGGGAAGCACCTAGATTTTTTTTCTGACTGGGACATTTCCGTACAAAAAATGTCATTTAGTTCATATCGCTTGCTTTTCTAAATTGAAGATGGCTGCTGCCTTGGACAGGCTTATTAGTGCATTTTCTGCTTGTAAAAATCGTTTCAGAGCTGAAGCCAAGTGATCGCTTCTGTCTGCAAAATAGAAGGGTCACAATGTGGCCTGATAATTACGAAAATTTGGAAATTCATTTACTTATTCAGAGCAGGGGAAATTTCCGATTTTAATGTTTAATTTTTGTAGAGTGCAAATACATATGGCTATAAATAGAAGTGGCTACAGTAAAAATATTTGCCGTTCTTCTTACTTCTCTTTGTAGTCCTTTAGGAGAAGAAGCTGTGTCCATTTAAATGGTGCCAGATCACAGAGAATCATCTTGATAAGATTTCTTGAGTTTGTTCATCTGTAATTCATCTGTGTATTTATTATTCTCCTTACTAATAAAGCTACTCGTTCTGATTGCTGCTCAGTCTCATTAGAAAAATCTGGTTTTAATCAGTATTATGATTTAATTATGAATTATTAAGGAGAAGCCTCTTAGCTTGATTGCTGCAGAGAATATCTAAGTCAGAATCAGAGCACTGTGTGGGCTGAAACGGACCTGGAAGAGGAAATATTTTTCCTAAGCTGGAGGTAGAAAACTCTAATGGTATGTCTGGATAGCTGTGGGAATGAAAATGTCTCTCTTAAAACATTTTAAAAGGTCAGCTACACCTCCACACTATGAACTAATTATATAATCCTATGTCGGCATGGATATTTTGTGACAGAAGCCTTGAAGATAAATTATTATTTTCAGTTACAAAAGAGAATTAATTTAATTTTTTTCTCTTCTATTCCCAAAGAAAATAAAATATTTTTTCTAAGGAGACATGTATAGTGTATAAAACAGTATGTTTTATTAATAATATTGCTCTGTAATACATACATGTCCAAGGATGTAGCTCACTTGCAGTTTTAGAAATAGCATTTATTAAGGGAAACATACAAGTACTTTCTCCTTCAAGATTTTATTCTCGTGAAACTGGGTAAGGACTGATATTAATAACCCGATGTGAGAGTCATTCATCAGTTTGCCATTTTAAAGTACGGTGTGTATGGGGGCCTGTGAATACAACATGACAAGAATATTTGTGCTATCTGATAAATTCAATACGATTACTTGGCAGGACGATGGGTGTTTTAATTTTAAAGGACTTTGGTTAACAGAAAAAAAGAAATAATGTATAATAGCTTTTTAGATCCTTTTTTGCTATGTTGTGCATCATATACAATGGATGATGGTGATGATGATTATGATTATTGTTGCTGTTGTCATCGTAATCATCATTATTAGTAGTAGTAGTAGTAATAATATTATTAACAGAAATAGTATCCTGTATCAGCACTAGTGTGGCCAGCAGGAGCAGGGCAGGGATCGTGCCCCTGGACTCGGCACTGGTGAGGCCGCACCTCGAATCCTGTGTTCAGTGTTGGGCCCCTCACTGCAAGAAGGACGTTGAGGTGCTGGAGTGTGTCCAGAGAAGGGCAACGGAGCTGGGGAGGGGTCTGGAGCACAAGTCTTCTGAGGAGCAGCTGAGGGAACTGGGGGTGTTCAGTCTGGAGAAGAGGAGGCTGAGGGGAGCCCTCATCGCTCTCTACAACTGCCTGAAAGGGGGTTGTGGTGAGGTGGGGGTTGGTCTCTTCTCCCAAGTAACCAGCGATAGGACGAGGGGAAATGGCCTCAAGTTGTGCCAGGGGAGGTTTAGGTGGGATATTAGGAAAAATGTCTTTATGGAGAGAGTGGTCAAGCATTGGACCAGGCTGCCCAGGGAGGTGGTGGAGTCACCATCACTGGAAGTGTTCAAAAAACATGTAGATGTGGCACTTGGGGGCATGGTTTAGTGGGCATGGTGGTGTTGGGTTGGTGGTTGGACTTGATGATCTTAGAGGTCTTTTCCAACCTTAATGATTCTGTGATTCTGTGATTATTCCGTGAGATCTTTCACTCCTCTTGGAACATACATGGGAGTCTCGCCCTATCCCTTCCGTTAGGAAGGACATGGCAGACTGAAGCAGCGTAACTGTTTTCCAGATCCCGTTCCTGGCAGAAGGCATCCGGATTCATGGGGAGAAGGTGACGGAGGCGCTGCGGCCATTCCACGAGCGGATGGAGGCTTGCTTCAGGCAGCTGAAAGACAAAGTGGAAAAACAGTATGGGGTCCGAGCTGTTGTAAGTTACCTGCTAACTTTATGCTTCCTAAATATGTGGAGTTTCTTTACATTATGGGCAGCTGTGTATTTCTGTATTATAATTCCCTCTGATTAAAAAACAATGTTGATGCAGCATTGCCTGATTGTTCTGAGTGGTCACCAAATTATTAAATATTGAGCAGATGATGTAAAGAGATGTTGAGGAAGGCTTGGTACTTTTCCTTTTCCAACATGGGAACAATTTCTCAATTGCCTGAATCTGTTCCTTGAAAGACAAGATAATTCTTCAATATTCCATTTTTAAGGAATTGGGGTAAAAAAAAAATAATTTAAAAGTTGCCACTATAGCCTGATTCTTCTAGAGCTGAATGTCACCTTTCTGTAGATGTAATTCCTTTTGAGATGTGAGGGCTGTGCTGCTCTACAGTCGTGTGCAGCCTTACGGACTCTGGCATCACCCTAAATGTAGGCAGGCAATAAATAGATTGCTGCTTCTTAATGAGATTTACCGTGCTGGAGTTCATGCTTTTCTCACTCCAACAAGCAGTTTTCAGTTGCTGCTTCATCTTCAAGGCACAGCCAAGAATTTGGTGCCATTTCCAGTGAGGTCTGAGTCTGCCTTTAATTTGAGCATTACCACTGGGGAGGGAGGCCAAAAGCCAGTGTACAGCTTCGTAATTGAGAACACGATTGATAATTCAGGCAAAAGCCATGCGGATTGGTTGCTATTATATGAATCATTTGTTAAATTGGTTTAAAAACCCGAGATGCAAGTGGTTAAGAGTTGCTTTAAGACTGACTGTGCGGAGCTGATGGCCTAGGAGTATATTGAAGGCTGCCGGGATGAGTTTTATCTCTGTCTACCGGTAGTCCTGACAGCGCTGTAATTTCTAGGTTTTTTTGTGAAATGACAGCGGTACGTGAAACTTGCATGTGCAGTAGGTATCTTCTCACTGCTCCAGAAAACAAAGCACTTACATGTACCAGAAATGACCCAAGTGTCCTCTGACGCAGAGGCAGCCAGCCTATCGCGCGTACGCTGTAAGACGCCGTGGCGCGCAGCCGGTGCCCTTGGCACTAGGGAAGTGCCGGGAAGTTCTGGGGTCCCCCCCTCTTTGCTGAAGAGGCTTTTAGCTGACTTGGAATCGTCAGATCTACTCGCTGTTGAGTTGCCTTGTTTGTTTTGGTTCAGGATACGTAAGTGGGCTTCAAGCTTACCAATTTTTAGAGGAAATTTTTGGAGAAAATTTTACCTCCAAAAGAGCGGTGTGGTATCATTTAGGACAATACGCATTTTCCCCAGATTGGACTCAAGAATATCCTAGACCAGAAACCGTTTCCCGCAAAAAGGACTGATGGGATGATCTCGATGAACCAGATGTTCTCGAAAACCAGTGATCTATTTTTAAGATTGCACAGATCCACCTTCTGTCAGCAAAAGCCATCTAAAAACAAAGGAAATCACCAGCAGACCATTAATTACTGGGCCATGGCACAAGAAAGCCAGCTTGCCAGCCTGCACTTTGGACTCCCGTCTCGTCTGCATCCCTGGCTTTCCCTGGCACCCTGGAAGCAGATAAGGAGCTTGCACTGTAGTCCCATTAACTGCCTTTTAATGAGAAAGCCAGTTAGCAGGTCCAGCAGGTGAAGGACATGGTATCAAATGGCAGATGCTTCCCTGCAAGTGAGTGGTGGCTTCCTTATGAAAACACCAAATTGCGTCGTCGCCCCAGTTGCGGTTGGGTCATCATTTTTGGAGGTCCCGCATCAATTCATATATGTATTGAGGTAGATATTACTTCATGGGCTCACATTTTGAAGGTTATTTCTGCAGCCTTGAGGCTGAAAACAGCTGCAGTTGTGGTTTTCGCCTGGCACCTGAAAACTCTATGTCTAAAGCACAATTGCATAGAGAGGAGGTCACAGGGAAAATAGTGGCCTCTTCATGCCCTTCCTGCCTTCCCCTCCTTAAACCCTGGAGGCAAGATTATCAGGTGGGAGCTCCATCACAATCTAGTCCTTAATAAATTAAGGAATAAAAGATTGAGAAATAGGAAAAAAGCAATTGATAACAAGTTCTCCAATTTTATTTCTGCCCCTGAATGAGCAGCAGTCACTAAACTGATTCTAAAAAGAATGAAGCAACCAAGATACGCCTGAACAGCCTTAAACCAGCACTTCTTCATCCGGTTCTGATTATGGTCACTAGTGGGTGCGTGCCACTGAGTTTATGGATGTTATGCCAATCACATCAATATAAACAGGGTTTGAATTTGGTTCCAAATATCTCCGGAAAATCCCACAGAGATTTATTCTGAAGAGTGGATGATGCAGGTTGTGGTCAGGGAGAGACCTCCAGCTTTCTGCAGAGCATCCTGGACTAAGGAGACAGCAAGAAAGATGCTGCAGCAAGTGGGACAGAAAAACGTGCCAAGTGACATTGTTCTCTGGATGCCCAAAACCTCGGTGGAATAGTACCTGCCAGTGAAGTACCCAGCTGCATTTTATGACAGGCCTTCCTTCAGAGATTAATTTTCACTTTTTTCTATAGTGATGACTTTTTTTTAATGGGAACACTGAGATCTTTTGGGGAACGTGCCAGCCTTTATGGTATACTTCTAAGTGGTGTTGTGTTTGTAGTCCTTCAAATCCCACCTTGCTAATATATTTAGGAAGAGAAAAGTTCAAATAGTAATTTATTCCCAAGGAGAACAGGAATAATTGACATTAATGATACTTGCATGTTAGTCACTTCAAATAATATACATTTACATCATCGGGGAGATGACTGGAAAGTCGTACGCAGGTGGTGTTATCTTTCTAATTTCACTCTACCCACCAGTAAGAATTGTCAAGATGGATGGAGTTTTATCGCTTCTGTCTTCCTTGTACAAGGCCAATTTACCAGCAGTTGACAGGGCGGAAAATATACCTGCAATTAAACAGCATGAGATTCTTATTTGTTGACTGAAAGAATTTAATTATTTTATGCATATATCAGTTATTAATGACTAACAAAGCTGGTATAAATATTCAGAACTCTGAAATTGTCTGAAACAAAAAAAATCTTTCATATATTTTCTTCTTAACCTAGATGTCACTCTGCAAATTGGCTCTCTTGACATAAAGTTCTTCATAGTGGGGTTTTTTTTTTCCTTTTTATTTTATTTTTGAAAAACTCTGTTTCATTTAAACGTACGGACAGGGCAGTCATTTCAATCACAGAGATGGGTTAAAAGAAAAGGTTACTTGTAAAAAGCTCCTTTTTAAAGCACAGATGTAAAAAAAAAAAAAGCATGTAAATTCCACTGAAGCAAATGAATTATTGGAATATGTGTAAAATTATACATATTTCCTCTTAGTTCTTTAAATGGATTTTCTTTAGAATTGTTTTCTTTGTTTGTTAAAACATGTTGTATAATTAAATAATAGGAAGAAAAGCCATTGAACCTTTCAGTATTTTTATTTTCTTGTAGCCAGATGTCAGCTACGTTGTGATTGAAGAAGTAAGATCTTATATTTATTTATTGCAGCTTTCAAGTCTGGATGATAGACGAGGCAGTCGGCCACGGTCCATGGTGAGATCCTTCACGATGCCGTCGTCTTCAAGACCCCTCTCTGTTGCATCAGTGTCTTCCATCTCCTCCGACAGCACACCTTCTCGACCTGGCTCAGATGGGTACGCGAGAAATGGTCATTCAGGGCTTATCTGTGTAAAGCATGATTTGGTGTGCAAATCGATAGGTTTTTAGGATTGCCCCCAAACTGGTCCAGATCTCAGTGCTATCACGGTGTTACTCCTTCTGATCCTGTTGACTCCTCCTGTGTGGCAGCATGACATTTGTTTGATCTCATAAGAAACTGAGGGGGTTTTTTGGTTGGGTCTTTTTACAGTGTATTTTATTCCAGATTTGGTTCATCATAATACCCCACAGACATTAATGTGACATAAGGGTGTGAGTAGGTAGTGTGGGGTGGAGGTGGTGCTTTTAAGTGGCAGCCTAATATTGGCTAAAAAAACCCGACCTATATAGACATTTGTCTCAAGATATATTCCTTGTCCTTTTTTTTAAGCAAGATAAATACAATGCTCTTCTTGGTCCTCTTTAAAACAAAGTTCAACAAAACCCCCTAAGCATTCAGACAAACCCCTCCAAACAAACAGGAGGTAAATTATCCCCTTTTAAAGTATTGCAAGTGTAGTAGTTCAGGAGTGATCTTTTGCGAGGTGGGTGGCGAGAGGCGTGTTCGCAGGTGGAGCTTGGCAGAAGGAAGGGATTAGCTGACTGCTCAGTCACTTCTTCTCGCTTTTGCTGCCGGGGGAAAAGCTGCTTAAGGCAAGATTGTACTTCAAGACTTATCAAGATGTTTCACATGAGAACTGGGACTTCTGTTGATAAGCCCGGTCTCACAGTCGCATCCCACAGAAGAACGAAATAATCTGTTTTCTTGCTGGGGTTTCCATGCAGCCTCAGAAGTCACTTCTCCCTCTTCCTCCCCCCAGGCATTCCCGTAATCCACTAACTCAGCATTTGACCAAGGCGGCAGTTTTTTAAAAGCCTCCTGAAGGGCTGCTAGCTTACAGAGACGTGCTAGAAACATTTGTGTCCCTTGTGCGCCTTCAGAGGGAGTTATTACCTGACTAGAGAGTAAAAGCATCAAGTAAAATTAAATACAGCACCTAAGGACCAACGTGATACTTCCCTTGATTACAAACAGTTTATTTACCCTTTGGGAAGAAGAGCAAACAGAGCGCAATGCAGGTCTCATTACGTTACCCTCTATAAGGTAATGCAGTGAGTATATGCAGTAGATGCAGTGAGTCACGTTGATATAAATGTAGGACAGCAGAGACAATAATGTGTTTTGACTAATTCATCCACAAAAGTTGTCTTGCTGGAACTCGGGGATAACTACCATCCCAGGTTAGTGGGCAACTTTATTTTAATATAGAAAATATTAAATATTTTTTATTTAGAAAATTAAATGAAAATATTGCTTTTCATTTATTTGAAAAATACTGATTCATTCCCTGCCTGCCTCTACTTCTTTCTCTTTTTCTCTTCAAAATCATTATGTGTATTTTTCTTTCTTCATTGGGTGTTATTTTCTTAAATTTCACCTCTCCATCCCAGCTTTGTTGTAGTAGGTGTCACTTAGCCGTTTTGGAGGCTCTCATGAGCCCACTCAGTATGCATATTAAAAAAAACCCTCACAAAGATCACGGTGCAGTTCAGCTCCTGCTCCACGCCTGGGGCAATACAGCTGCAGTACATGTGAGGAAAATATAATGAACAGCTATCATCACTGAGAAGGCCTGAAAAAAATGCTCATTTGCCTGATCAGTGGAGCAGGAGAAGAAAAATCATTAGATGTAAATAACATAATGAAAGACCTCAAAAATTCCAATGACTGTAAAAATCATGTGGGTGGATTGTCACTACTAACTTGGAAGAAGTTCACCCGTGTACCTACCATGGTTGATTGCGTTTATGGTCAGTTGTTCTTTTCAGCTTTCCGTTTCCCCTCTCTTCATATATTAATTCTGAGATTAAAGGTGGCGCTAAGAAAAACAAATAAAACTGGAGCTGACAGACTTGTCCAGATCACCCGACTCAGATTTTACGCCACCTCCAGTTTCTCCTGCTTTGGAGCTTTTATACAGTAAAAACTCAAAGCAGATGTTGACATAGTATATGTTTTATAACTCCCAACTCTATGGATAAATAAAACTCTGACTTTAAAAAAGGACCTTGGGTTTATTCGCTGCTTAAAGTGGGACTTGGAAGTACAAATCTGAGCACTTACAAGCGGTAGTTGGAAGAGGGGACGTCCCAGTGTGCCTGTGTGATTTGCCATCTGTTGCAAGTCCTAATGAAATTCAAGTAGGAGCACGGCGTGCTGACCCATTTTATCACCGATACATTGCGTACAAATAATTAATAGTACTAATAATAGTAATGCCTGGAAGAGAAGCAATTAATTGTTGTCTGAAGAATGGCAATTCCTCTCAGAAACTTGCAGTCAGCCTGCGAGGCGGTTGTCACTGCCCTGCAGCCCAGCGGAGCCTGGCAGAAGCAGCTAAAATATGGCTAAAACACACGGTGTTGGGGGAGCTGTTCCATGGTCCGGGCTCCGTCACTGATGCGCTTTGTGGCCCCGGGCAAGTCATTGCCCTCCCTTTGCCCTATCTGTAAAATGGGATGAAAAAAGCTTGCAGTTTTGTCTCCCAGCCGGTGCGATTTGGGTTTTGGTTATGAGAGTGGTGACTCAGGGGCCATTGCCACGGGTACTGGTTTGAGCATCTTTCCATCAAATGAGCTACCTTAGGCTGAAACCTAAAGGGACTTTAGTGCTTCAAACAACAACAACAAAATAGTAATTTTGGATATTGTTGCTGGATATTGTTGCTAATGGAGATGATTAGGGTAACGTCACTGCAAATTGTCTGGAATACGAACCTTCCAGTACTTCACAGCAAAGATTGTGGCCCGTACATGCATCACCATGGCATCGAAAATGCTTTTCCAGTGTTGAGAAGTAAGCTGCTTTTGTTTGTTTGGGGGATTTTTGTTTTGGTTTTGTAATGTGATGATTTGAGACATCCTCTTAAAACCTGTCAGTGTAATTTTAACTAGGGTATGCTTTTACTAGTTTGTTTAGTTTATAATATAAAACAAATTACAAAATACTTTGTCTAAGAGTTAAGAATATTTTAGCTCGTTAAGGGCAAAATATGTCTTTACTGTTTATTTAAACTAAGAGATTCCTTTAAATTACTGAGTAAAAATAACTAAAAAGAATTCCAGTGTTACTTAAGAATAGTGCTTTCCCT